AGCGATGCACGCGATAGATACAGGTCATGAGATCGGCTAGTATAACATCGAAATCGTTAGAAAGGGGTTGCGATCAACGCCCCAAAGACTGACTGCTGAGGCGGTTGTGATTAGCAACGTGAACAGAATGGACGGGGCAGAAGGTTCGAACGTGTGGCGGGCTGTCTTAACCCGACCAGTCTGAAGAGCGTCGGTGGACGGATTCAGGGCAGAGAATGAACACCACATGATCTACGCACCCATCATTAACAAGGCTTACGTGTGTGGCATTGTAACGCGGACCACTTGTGACCGTTCCATGTACTATTTGGAGCGATGCGTTGACCTGTAACGCGATTGATCTACCTACATCACATTCGTCGCGATGATCATCCCAGTTCGTTATAAGTGCTATACCAATCCTCGACTGGTTCACTCGGCCTGACGAAGCTTTTGTGTCAAAGGCGAAACATTGTCCACAAACTATACCAAGGGATTGTTTTCAGACTTTTCTGAAATCATGAGTTCTGATCGATTCCAAGTATTTTCCAAACGTTGAGATGGACAGTGGATCTCTCTCGCCTGAAAACACTGCGCTCCACCACAGATTCCGAACTTATTTGATCTCATCAGGTAGAGGCTACGGGTAACAGCCTAACGACCCCAGGTTCGCTGCATGCCGTCTCAATACACGTTAGCTGAGGGTGAGAAACACACCACAGTTAATGTGTTGCAATACAGAAAAGAGAAGAGATTAAAGCTTACAGACCACAAAAGCTAAAAATGTAACAATGCTATCACGTTATGCATTCAGTTTGAGATCGTTGGTGATAGGGGAAGCTAAAGGGGAGGGGAGGGATAAAGGGACCCATAACACAAATGCCAATGAGGTCGGTTCCTCGCCATGTCAGCAAGTGTATCCAGTCAAACGTGCTCATCGTCCTTCGGACCGTAACCAACGTCAAGTTCGAAGTGTGGGACTTCATTCCTCGTGACTAAGTGATCGTTTGGCCTCCCCTCTTCCATCCACATCCCCGGCGCGCAAACAACGCACGACGCGGAAGTCAGTGTGCTGGTATGCGCAGATAACGTCGAAAGCAGTCACGGAGTACGGTGCTTTCGTGTGAACAATATATATCCACTTCTGTGTCGTTTAGCAGCGGTGCACATATGACGTTCAGTGACTGCATCGAAAAAGTTCACCGCTGCTCAGTGTTGGGTTTTGTGTGCTGGCGATGTGCGACACGCGGTTACAGTTTGAACCGGAATTAACTTCGAAGTGAACTCGCTCTGATAAAACCATGCAGACCGATAGAATGAAGATTACGCGGGAGGGGAGAGGAGACCTAATGCTACATCTAAACGCCCTAAGCAAATATTCAGGGGCGGAGCACGCACGCTGTGTCAGCATGACAACAAAAAGACCTGAATGGCGTGCGGAGATAAGGTGACATTGCCGAAATAGCCCAACGCGGATTTCACTGCACTGCGTCACAATCAGTCATTATCATGCAGATAACTCAGCGTCAGACATAATTTAACCCGTTATCTCCAAAAAAACGTTCTTTGGTAATTTTGTTTCCATTGTAAAAGTTGTGTTGTGTTTGGGGTTCCAGGAAGAAAAATATATTAGACAGTGTTGACGTGTGCTCTCTAACAATGACGCTAGCATGACTTCCGATGTGTATGCAACATTGGTAGGTAACAGATTAAACAGGTAATCCGACTGGAAGACGATAGCAAACGCGCCACTGATATTGACTGCAAGCCATGTCCTGTAACACATCGAGCACAAGGAGAGTCGCTCACTTTAGTCGTCAATGACATCGTTTTCACTCCTGAAGACCTGCTTACAAGCTTACATCAAGCAAAATATACAAGGATCTTATTCGTCAGCAGTAACTGGGCTTAAGTAGAACGTGTACAGACCGACGTAGATTATCCGATACTATTTATTGTCCTACAGAATTAACCTGGCTATTCACGCCTAACCCTCCCTTGCTCACAACATCGCTGAGGAGACGCTGGTATCATTCGACACTAACAATGCTCCGCGCGTAACGACGACTGAAGAACCGAAGGTACCTCAAAGATCCTCAAACAGAAGGGGCCAAGTTTCACTCCCATTAAGTAAGGTGGTTTCATTGTTGACTTGTATACCCGGTATGTTATACTGAGGGAACCCAACCTCTCGGACCCCACAGGTGGGATAGTTGTAAGTATACATTTCTAAGTTATTATAAGTGAACTAATAGCATCTATTTTTGGCAGTTTATACGCATGGACCAAGGCTGGGGCTTACAGCAAGGTGCCAAGGTAGGAAAATATCCCGGTAGAATACAAAGTCCGGAATACGCGGGATTCGACAGACAGTGGAGTACCGCACCCCAAATTGCAATGTGTGTGTGTGTGGTGTGGTGCGAAATATCTAGAGGGGAGTCCCGACGCATATAGTGTTAGACATGCCGAGCGTCCCGCGAAAGGTGGAAACACAGGGAGATGAAGTGTCGGATCGTGAAAGGACGCAGGGATTTTGGATGTCATGCAATAGAGAAACTGATAAATCACCGATTGTTCAAACTTAAGGGAGTGTGGATAATAGTGAACACTTGGGAAAAGTGTGGCACAAAGCACGCGTTCATCACTGCTAACGAAGCTGCCATGGTAAGTGAGTCGAGCAAGTACCTCGAATTCCTCGTCAGCAAGAGTACAGGGGCAATTGAGGGGGCGATGGTCGTACAACAGCGCTTTACCTGTTGAAAGTGCAAACAGCATGCCAAATAATAATGGGATTACTCCAGGCCATTTATTTAGGGTTGATTAGGCCGACCCATGATTGTCGGAATAGCAAGGCAATATCGTCTGCATAGTCAGGAGCAAATAATTTTCCACTAAACAGCAAGTTAAAAACTTGTGTCGCGGAATTCCGCAAGGGAATGTTCCATGGTGGAATGCATGATAAAACTGAACAAAAATGTAGAGAAATGGACAACGCTGATGAACGCCACTTTTTGTCGAGAAGGTATCGGACAATTCGCTGTATATCCCGGAAGGGACTCGCGAGGCTCGAGCACAGAGCACGTAACATAATTCCATAGTTCGTGAAAACCTTTCCGAGTAAGCATATTGAACAGAACGAAACGATAATCGGCCTATGGAACGTGTGATGCTGCTCTAGCTCAAGTTGTTCAGACAAAGCGATCTCCGCATGAAACACAATGGTAGGCATGGATTAAGCCAGAACGGTTTGATGTACCTGTTACAGAGAGCCAGCGTACAAGCCGAGAAGCGTGGCGCAACATTCAATGGATCTACAATTGGAGATCGAACTCGAGTAGAGATCAAAACGCGAATCTATGTGGGATCAGCGGCAACTTGAACCATGAACTTGAACCGTTTGAGTTGTGTTAATATTAATTAGCATCTCCAATATTTTTGTGTTAGTAGTCGCCCACAACCTATTTATTGCGCCATACTCTCATACAATAAGAATCCCTCGGTTCGACTGGTCTTGGCGTTCTCATTTCGTTGCGGGTTGCACTGATTTGGGGCGGAACAACTGATTCGGACAGTAATCCATACAGACAACGGAAGCCCACAAGAGATTTCTGGCGACGGTCAGCTGTGCAGTAGCAACAGGTTAGTCGTACATTCAGCGGCAACCACAACATATTTCTGGCGACCAATGGTAAACTTACTCGAGATGGCAATCTCAGCAGAAGAGCTGAAAATTGCACGGCTGCAAATGATGGAGACTCTCACAAGAACAGTGTCACTCCAGTTTACAACCATCTCTTCGGAGCAAATGCAGACGCTCCTTCAGCTCTTGCAGCCAATGTCGCATCCCGCAGGGGTTAAAGCGCATCAAGAGGCCCTTTGTCGCTAGACGAAGAAATCGTCTGTGTACCGGAATGCAAAGGTCTGCAACTCTGTGCAACTGTCCAGATACACAAACCAACAGCCACCAAAAGAGTGGCCATTGAGCGCCTGAAAGAGAGGTATACAGCAGTCTTTCGGGAAGGCCTTGGTAAGTGCAAGAAGGTACAAGCCTAACTGTCCCTTAAGCCCGATGCCGTTCCAGTGTTTCGCGCGAGACGCCCTATGACCAGGAGCTTGATCGCTTAGTGGGAACAAGTGTTCTCCACCCTGGGACCCAGGAGGGACCTAACGTGGGTTTAGCAGGGTTACAAAAATAAACAAACTTGTAGCCACGATGTTGGAATGATCGGGTGTGGAGCCCCGTCATCAGAATGCACCTGGACCCAAGGCGGAAGTTGCACGTCAATTTGCGCGAGGGAGGTGTTAAGGAGTCAGCGTACAAGTCAAGAAGCGTGGCGCAACATTGGATCGATCTACAATTGGAGATCGAACTTGAGTAGAGATCAAAACGCGAATATATGTGGGATCAGCTACAAGTGGGGCCATGAACTTGAACCGTGTATGGTAATTAATATTAATTAGCATCTCCAATATTTTTGTGTTAGTAGTTGCATACAACCTATTTATTGCGCTATGCTCTCGTACCATACAAATCAAAATTCGTCGGTCCGGCTGGTCTTGGCTTTCTCATTTCGTTGCGGGTTGCAATGGTTTGGGGCGGAACAACTGATTCGGGCAGTTAATCCGTACGGACAACGGAAGCCCACAAGAGATTTCTGGCGACGGTCAACTGCGTAGTAGCCACAGGTTAGTCGTACATTCAGCGGCAACCACAACAGTATCGTATTCGTACAACAAAATGTGTCAGCTTATACGCCGTAACGGCGCTTCGCTGCCGCGCGACCACCACCAGTCGCGCGCGGGCTGAGTATACCGCGAGGACGCCCACCCCTACGCGGATTCGAACCGGTGACCTTATGGTTGGAAAGCAAACGTGCCAACCACTCGGCCACCGGCCGACAACAGGGTCACAGTGTATGTAACAACCTAAGCAAAGCGGAACATGAAGAGATGTACGGAAGTAGTCCGAACATTACCTGAGCAGATGAGAATAAGAAGACGAGTTGCTTGTCAACGCTTACCCTCGTACGTAAAGCATCGTTGTTTTCGTTTCCCCAGCACTGTCGCCCAGACCTGTTTCGGTGGTTCCACGCAGTGCGTTGAGGTCAGACAGTGCAGTGTGTACAATGGCCAAGAATTCACGTTCATGACTCTCCCCGGACGGAAGTGGACGAGCCAGGGCTGGAGAAGAGTCCCAAAGACCGGACAAATTGTGGAAAATGTGCTGTGACCCATGCGCACAGGGTGAACTGGGAGTGCCCGAATCTGGTGATTGGGTCAAGCGAGTTTGGCAAGGAGATGGGATATTGTGCACATTATCCAAGGTGCCAGCGCTGGTTGTCCTCGAACGGCCGTTACGAAGCATATCAGGCCGATCTAGCAGGCGGGAAGAAGCAACCTGGAGGCGACTGGAAGCTGGAACAAGATTGCGTTGAGCCCGACACGGTCCAAAAGATAGGATGCATTGCAGACAAATCCAATCGTACAAATTGTTGGGCATAGAAACCGGGATATTGAACTGAGAAGTAAAATAGAGGGTATTAAGACGAATAAAATAGCAGATGAACAGCATAAAATGAGAGGGAGCATTTGCTTAGCGGTGATTGGAACACAGAGTGAGATGGTTCTCGTAGATGTGAACAGGTCACAGAACAATAAACGGAAATTCGTGGGCCGGGGTTCGACTCCCCGTCGAGGCATATTATTGTGCGTGAATTTTAATCGTGACTTCTACTTTCTACAAACTTTACCCTACTCACAAACATCCAACATTAATAAACGTATTGTTGGCCCGTGATCAAAAAAAGCTGGTGCTTAAACAAGGTGATCTAATGTTGTGTCATGATAAAGCCCAAACATATGAAGCCGGACGAAGGCGAATTTGATGGGGACATTTAATGGCACGGAAGATTTTTTTGTTGGATACCAAACATAAGACAGCCGGTGGAGAGTGGGACAATAAAGTATTCGTGGGCCCTAGCAACCTGCGTGTAAGTTGTTTAATGGTCACTGTACGCTACAGGACCCAAACAGTAGGCATACGCGTTTGTGTGCAAGCAAGCACACACACACACGGCAATTTCAACAAGGAGTACAAACTACCTGAGTTTACAATGCAGAATCAGGTACAAACTGGGCACAACACACGAATGCGATCAAATAAGGCATCGAAGGCTGTTGTTGTGTGACAACATTAGGGAGGCCAAAACCCAGTTAGCTAATCTACGCAACACTACAGTCGCGATCCGCCAAATCCTATCGCCAATTATACCCCAAATCCGAAATTGTTGTCACCTCCCGCCAGTGGTTTAAGGATGTAGATGAACCATCGTGTAGCTTGAAAGTACGCCGTAGTTGCGACAAACATGTGACGACAAATGATCAGTGATATTCGATCCACATGACGATGCGGAACGTGAGGGTGGAGCGAAAACATTCATACACGAAGCACACATTCGGATTTCGATCGCATGTTCAACAAGTAGAAGAATGTGCGAGGGGAACCACTTGACCTAAAACGGGGAAAGCTATCTATCGGGAGTAACACTAGTAGTAGCATGGTTGCTTCTATGTTCAGCTCTGCACGCTCAACAACAACAACAACAACAACAACAACAACAACAACAACAACAACAACAACAACAACAACAACAACGCCTCAGTCATTTGAATTGATACATCTATGCCGTACAACCACAACAAGCTATGCAATGAAGGATAATACAATGGAGAAAAGGGGGACTTGGCGTAAAACCTTAATGCCAAAAACAAACATGAAGGATCAAGGCGTCTACACCTTGTCAGCAACATACCACTAAAACATCAGATATGGCAACATCAGCGAGACAGCTTCCTTTCAGCATTCATTGCCCCGCGTCATAACCAGCCATTACCAAGCATCTAACAGGCGGTCCGACTACGAGACGACAGCAGACATGTCTCTGGTGCTGACTGCGAGCCATGTCCTGCACACTCTCAAGCCAACCACAAGGCGAGTCACGTCGAGTCCAGCCTGGAAGCCGAGACGGACCGATGGCACCCAGTTTTCTAGTCAGTGACCTTATTTCCTGCTGCTAAGTCAACGTTTGTCCACTTCGAGTCTTGTGCCACTTTTAGCTGACACACAAACGAAGGCACCTTCAGCAAGCGGTGACCAGGCATACGTGCCCATGCCAGTGCAGCGTATTCAGTGCTACCTGTTCTAGGGAAGTTGTCTAATCTTCACAGCCTAACACTCGCCTAAACATGTTAAGGGCGTAGACCATGCGCCTGAGTTGTTCACTGCCATCTAGTAGAGCGATTCTTTACGGCAAGAACTGAAGTTGAGCTCGACTCGCCGACGCCGACTGTGATTGGTGCGTTGCGCCAACAAAAATAGCGATCTGAATGTCAGGCGATGAACAGCGCTGAGAGGTTAGATACAAAAATAGCTGGAGTTTCAGCTATTATCATGGGGCCATGTATGCCAACAAGTTTGAAAGGCGCAGACCGTAAAAATCTTAACAACGTGTTGGCCTTTCAAGGGAGTGCAGCAAACTGTGACACAGGAATGCGCTGTAAAATAGCGCGATAACGCTCAGAGAGCGTCTGTCGACATGAATAATGATATTATTAGGGTGTCATTGAGTTGCTACATGATGTGCCGAAAGACCACACTGCCAAGATGAAGACGTTCAAACTGCGAGAAATTGAACTAAGTCCCAATGGTGGGAGATCACAACAATCATGGGAATGGGATGGTATTTTAAAGAGGAACGATAAGTCGGCAACAACTGAGACAAACGCTTTGAAAAGAGACGCGTAGAAATAATAGTAGACAGGAATTCAAGGCAGTGCAAAATGAGGAGAGAGCAATGAGAGGAAGCCATAGGGGCAAAACACAAGTCTATCTCACAGACAGTGGAACTAATAGCTCACCAACGGGTTTTGCTTGCAAGTCTCAATCCACGGGGCGACCAATTGAGGGAGCAGGGAGACATCGGACAGTTCACGTTTCAATTCACTCACTCTGAATGAAAAAGCGAGGAGGAGGAGTTAGTGAGAAACCCCATTTGTTTGTTAAACAATTGTTAGAGGGTACTCATGAGTGAGGAATTTTGATGCATCAATCAGCAGTTCATAGCTGGCGAGGGATGTTGCGTAGGAACCGGGCAGCCCTCGCAGTATCCTTAGCCCACGTGCCACTGATGGCGATTGCGTTGGCAGCGAAGCGTCGGTACTACGCACTGGCCTTCTTTTGACGGCTTTCATCGTAGTCAGATTCCAGCCAGCGAACTACCATACATCCGGAGACAGCGGTTTCATCCTAATAGAATGGCTTGTAGCGGCAAAAGCCGCTGGCCCCAAAGAATCACGAGTTCGGTTCGTCGCATAACAGGGGGATAGGCACGAGTGACGAGATCCAGAGAGATGAGAAACGACTGACTACTGGCTTTACGGATATGTAGTGCGTTGTTTGACTTGGTGCTAAAAGCGATCAAGAACCATTTATAAATTATGGACGGGACGCATGGAAGAAGGCCGACAGAAAGGGTGTCTGAAATAGGTCTAGTTGGATAGAAGGGAAGGAAATCCAAACAACAAGCCCTAGGATGGCTTGTTGTCCGGTGCTGGCCACCTGCAGATGCAGTAGTGAGTATACTAACGCTCGTTGTCCGTTGCCGTAGATTGCGTTGCCTATTCGACAGAACTACACGAAACGGGTCGATTGCTAGCCACATCAGGATGCAACCGGGAGACTATGTCTCGTTCGCTTTGTGGTCAACAAATTCTGACCACAGTCCATTGCTTGTATGGTATCAGCAAAATTACAAGGCAACGGAATCGGGGGCGGCTGGCAGATTGGTACAGAGCGTTTGCCCCCGAAAACCGGTCACCGGTGGGAATCTGCATAGGTGTGGATGACCCAGAAGTTCCCCTGGTCCGCGCATGACTGGTGGTGTTCTTGTGGCCATGAACCATTGAAATGGCATACTGGTGTGCTGCTGATTGGAGACCACGTAGCAGTGAGGTGCCTTAAGCGAATACGAGCTGCTGAGCAGGTCGAAATGACAGGAGCCCAGTTGCCGGCACAGTGAAGACATTCGACTGTGAAGTAGAACCACAGTGGTGAAACTCCGTAACCAACCAGTCCAATTTGGCTGGCAGTGAATGTGAACACCATCGCAAACGTGTAAGCGAATGAGATGGTCACTCGATAAAGTGGAAAAATTAGATATCTGCAAATGAGGATATGCGGAGCCAGTAACAAGAGGTAATAGCAGAGGACGGGTATTGTGCGTGTCCATCAACGTCCATCATTGGATATTGATCCGACGGAACAGGGAAGTGAAAACATGTCACGCATGGATTTTCAATCACGGTGGATATGCAAACTGCGGCTAGGAGTGAGCATGTGGCATCAGATAAGCGGAGGTGAAGATGAATGCAGGTCAAATGGTCTAAAAACGCGGAAACTGTAGTGCGAACATTTAGAGGACGCTTACTTTGGCAGCAAGACAGAGGGGAGTGCCAACTGTTGCTCTCGGTGAATAAATTGCAATCTCCATAGCAGTGTCTCTACTGAACTGCGATCCCATCGTGGTTTAGCCACAGATTTGTGTATGCCACCCAGCTCAGTTTTAACTACGACTCGTGAACTGAAATGAAGTGGATCCTGCTGTCGTGACACGCGCCACCCAACTACTAATGATACAAACAGTAAAATAGCACAACAAGTACGTCCGAGATGTCGAATCGTCAAATGGAACAGTTCGGAAGTAGAAATGGAAAAAACAACGCAAGAGCACTACCGCCTTTATGGCCGAACCATACCCGATAAAACATCTAACTCCTGATGTGGCCACAGGTCTAAAGGACACCATTCTGGACGGCAACAAGCACCAACTCGAATCAGCGCTTCCGTGGACATATTCAACCTCTTTGGACACGTCACAGACTGTCACCCAATTATTCACAGCAAGCGCCACGACAGTCGGCCTGAAGGTGCATGTACGCAAATGACCAAGCCACAGAAAGGGATTCAAGTCAAGAATGTGCTATATGCATCCAGACACTTAGACGAATGAATAACTCGCGGAGAGCCAAATTCTCGTGGGTACAATGCTCATCCGATAGGTCTCCAACCCAATGATGTATGTTGCTCTAATAGACAGGGCCTTATGCAGAGGCTCTGTCTAGAGGGTAGGTTTATCCGTGGGCCTGGTGTGTATTGATGGTGTAGTCGGGCCATCCAAAACAAACGTTGTGCCCGTTCAAACGCTTGGGGAATTTATCTCCTCCTCCTCCTCCTACTTTGCACCGGGGGTATGTCCTATGGTGATAAGTAAGATCCCTACCGCTGGTTAATGGAACCGCCAGCCGGTTGTCCACAGCCAAGGTGGCGGTTGCCACCAGCCAGGTAATGCATGGTCAGCTTGGCACAGAACCTGGTAGAACTCAGAGAGGCGACTAATGCTGCAACACTCAAAGGAATCCATTTCTTGGTAGAGCATATGCACTCGAGAACAGAGCGATGCCATGCGATATGGGATATCTTTCGTACTGGTACACACACACACACACACACACACACACACTATACACGTAAGATAGAGGTGGGAAACACCTCAGCTACTGTGGCGCGATACCAAAAAAAGGGAAGAAAATGCGACAGCTGCAAGTCAGCTGAGCTACCGGTAACGGATGGGTATCGTTCCGGTAAGCCATCTGCCGGCTACTATCCAGCAGAAAAGTTAATTTACAATTCAAAATTATAAATGGTAAATAATGAGATCGTAGTTGGAGAGGGGGCTGAGGGATCGGGTGGGACAAAGAAACTCACAGCACGAATGTCACTGAGGTCGGCTCCTAGCCATATCAGCAAGTGTGTCCAACCAAACGTGTTCATCGTCTTTCGGACCCCAACCAGGGAGCTGAGACGCTCCAACCGAGGCCAGCTTCGAAGTGAGGGCCTTCATTCCTCTTGACCAAGTCATCGCATGGCCACCTCTCCTCTTCTTCCATCCACACCCCCGGCCCGCAAACAACGCATGTCACGGGAGTCGGTGGGCTGGCATGCGCAACACGTGGCCGAGCCATCGGAGCCTGGTGCGTAAAACAAGGGTGCTGAGCGGTTCATTTCCTTTTCCTGTGCCGTAAACAAGGCGTCGAACACGCTCGTTACTCACGCGGTGTTCCCACCAAATATGAGCCAAACTGCGAAGGCACCGATGGTCGAACGTAACTAGTCTCTTCAGGTCCGCTGATCTAAGGGGCCAGGTTTCACAACCGTAAAGAAGTCGTTCTCCTTGGAGCAGATCCACACCTTCTAAATCGTGTTCTGTGAACGCGATTTACATGACTTCGTCAATAGCGAAGTTGAAGAGGAAAGGTGACAGCGGGTATCCTTGTCTCACACCGCTGGAGATATTAAAGGGCGACGACAGCTTGCCGTAAGCCCTCACTCTGCCTGAGCTACGCGAGTGTAATGATCGGATAATATTTACATATTTCTCGGGAACACCTTTCCTGAGTGCACGTCTATCCACCGAATCGAATGCACCTTTGATATGGAGTAGCACGACAACGGTGGGCCGGCAATATGTGTGACGGTGCTCCAACAACTGACGCAAAGTGAAGATGTGGTCAATGCAGCGATGACCTCGACGAAACCTGGCTTACTATTCACGAATATGGCTTTCACAAGTGGCAGTCAGTCTGTGAAGGATGACAGATGCAAGCAATTTGGAGGCGATGGAGACCAGACTTTTCGTACTGGTAAACATGTGGGTGTGTAAGACTTCGAGAAGAAAGCGCAATCAATACTTCGTGCTGTTCCGAAATCATGGTGGTGCTAGGCAGACAATATTTTTGCAATTATAGAAAGAGATAGAAAAGTAATTCATAAATTACTTAAACTCCATCGATGGGACCGTGAAGTTTACTGTGAAGCCCCGTACCTTCCCATTTCCTGGCTGCCTAGTCCACAAGTACGGTGAAAACGATGATATATCGCGAACCTACGGACACATATGGAGTACGGTTGCAGTTCAGGACGGTCTAGGTGGAAATCGCTGCAACACTGTATCCTAGAGCAGGTGCTATGAGCACGGACGAATAAGGTGGAAGAGCTGTCTAGAGAAACGTAATGAGAAATCAATTAGAGCTTTCGGATATCAGATGTGATTGTTAAAATGCCGGCTACAACATTGTCTTGTCCGAGGTCAACTACGGAAAGGATAGTGAGCGTGGGAATTCGGTTTAAAGAAGGAACTTGAGAAACGCTTCGGAAAACATCGAATAGGGAAAATATCAGCCTAATTTACCAAAAGAGCCAAACACTACGGTTGACTTCAGTGAATTTGAAGGATTCCTTTCTCTTCGGTAAAATAATTACAAATTCTATGGAAAGGTTGCGCACATGTGTGGACTCGGTTTATCGGTACCATGAGAAATATACCTATTACTATTATTATTATTACTATTATTGTAAAGAGCTGTGCACGAAGAGTTGAGAACAGGAGAGGCGCATGTTACGGTCACCGAAGTACGAGCCTGAATTCAATGACGTCGGGATTCGTGATGGTCAAGCGACTGACTTGTGTGATGAATTAGCTACATAAAATGTACATGCCTCTGAAACATGAGGCACAGTTCAAGTGAGTAGTCTGATCCATCTGTACAGAGGGGTAGCATAAAACCGAACAGTTAACTGTTCGGTCTTTTGGAGTGGGTGACAGATTGAACGCATTAGAAAGATAGATGAAATTGCGGACAATACCAAACACAGATAGTGCCACATGTTCAACTGAAGTAATACGATCACCCGTGGAACTGGCCCCAAGGAGCCTTCTTCCCTTGAAAGATTTCACTAGCAATTCTACGTTCCAAATGGATTATAATAGGGCATATTTTCTCTTGGTACCGAGAAACCAAGCCTACAAAGGCACGGATCACATTTACGCTGCGACATGTTCAGGAATGCGAGGCTATCAATTGTTTCTGTTTTTCAGGGTTACAATAGAGATG